TGGAAGGAACGCTTCAGCATACCAAGACATGTTGGACAATTTTGTGCTCAAAACTTTATGAGAACAGTTTGGTGATGGTTCTTTCCTTTTCCAACATGACTGCACACCGGTGCACAAAGCAAGGTCCATGAAGACATGGATCATAGAGTTTGTTGTGGAAGAACTTGAGTGGCCTACACAGAGTCCTAACCTCAACCCAACAAAACACCTTTGGAATGAATTAGAATGGAGACTGTAGCCAGGCCTTCTCGTCCAACATCAGTGTCTAAAGGAATAGTCAAAAATTCTCATAAACGCACTCCTAAACCTGCCTTCCTAGAGGAGTTGAAGCTGTTGTAGCTGCAACGGGTGGGCCAACATCATATTAAAAGTATGGATTAAGAATGGAATGTCACTCAAGTTCAAATGTGTGTGAAGGCAGATGAACAAATCTTTTTTTGGCAATATGGTGTATCTGTTCTTGTGTCATTGTGTGTACTATGGGAAGTAAACACAATGCATCACTTGTTTATTGTGTCAAAATTTATATTAGTATTGTAGCTGGTAAGATATGGCATGGCCCTTTACAGCTTCAGTCCATGTAGTTTGCATAAAATACAGTAACTGTTCAGAAATGATAACTAGGCTACTTGACACGTCTGATTGCGTCAGCCTACTGAATTGCAGTGGAGGTTTTTCACCTTCATTGCAGGTTCAGTAAGGTAGCTCCGATGCCTCACACCTCTTTGATGTCCATAAGCTCTTCCCGGGGAAACTCAAAGGCAACTCTGGACTACATTGTAATATATAATCCCTCCAAAGTGTACTGGCCCTGCACAAGCATTCTCATCAAGTCTGCCTTGCCTTGAAAACCTCCACAGGGAGGCGTCCAGGAATAATCCTAATGAGATGCCACAAAACTCCTTTACTGACTGACCTTTTAATGTGAAGGAGCAGCAGTTCTTCTCCAGACTTCTCACCCAATCTAAAAGAATGAGCCCAGAATCCAAATAAGTGATGTTGGAATATAGATTGACTGAAATTAGATTGAATTAGATTGTAATTTGCTCCCTCTTCACAACAACACTCCAGTGCAACATAGACATCACTGCAGATGCAACAACCTCATTGTAAGCCTTTTTAATCTTTTTCACACCATTCAAGTTCAGATTGTGGCGTTCTTTTTTTCCTATTGTGTCGAACTGAAATCATTTGGTTATCTTCTGCCTTCTTTTTTAGAGTGGAAATGCATTCCGTAATATGTAGGGCTTTACCAGGAAGAGACAATTATCTAATTGAAGATATCTGTTTGATACAATAGCAGACTGTGCTCCTAGAGAAAGATTGATGGAAATTCAATACTAAGTGTAGAACGGGAAAACAAAGCAATTAATTGTTCCGTCACAGTGCTGGCACTTGCTGTGAAGAAAAAGGAAAACTTTTGCAGGTATGTGTGCTTTAAGAGTTCTTCTGCTGGCCATCTCCCAAGATGCCATTTTCAACAGGATTAGTCAGGGATGCACCTAATTGCTATTGATTGCTATGTGCTGCATAAAATTGCTTCCCTTTTCTTGTCCACGGTGGGAGGTGGGAGAAGGCAATTAGCAGTGCGGACGAGATAGAAGCCCAGACTGACTTGTAATGAAATGGAATGGAGGAATAAACCTGTGAGTAATGCCCTTGAACTTGGGGAGCATTACAAAACCATTAAGCACCAGTATCTTCTTATTCTACCCCTCACATGACCACGAGCCAGGAAAATATTGTGCTAGCATTTATTCTGAAATGCTCTGTTTATATACACCATTACTAAGAGTTTGTCTGTGTCCCTCTTTTTAAGCGCATGTACCTGAATTTAAACAGACTTGTCCTGCAGCATCCTCTTGGCTTATATTGAATTTGCACCTGTCATTGATTTAAGAACCAAAAAATGCTGTGCTGTGCTTTTTGCAGAGGATAAATGCACATTTGTTTTTTGGTTTTTTTTAGAAGTTCATGTTGTGTTTTCATGCCATCCGAAGTGATTTCGTGTCAAGAAACGTCTCCAAAGAATGTAAAAAGGATTAAGGAAAGAAGAAATCCACACTCACTTTTTGCCGAATAACACTTCTTTTGAATTCTATTTAACAAAATATTTTCGTCTTGATGAATAATACACATTTCTTATTTCTTGAGTCATTTTCCTTTTCTTTTTTTTTTCTTTTTTTTTTTTTAACTCCACCTCAGATTTCAGGAAACACATTAATTATGTTTGAAGATATTTACATATGTACAACATGTGGAGCACCAAGGGTTGTTTGACTTTTTGAAAACTGGACTCTTTGCTTTGCCGTTTATCGTGAACCCGAGTGAGCATGAATTCACATACAATCAACTTTATTTAAACATAAAATTACAATTTGTTATAGAAATTGTACTATCCCATATTTGAGCCCCACGTGAACAGACCCTCGGTGCACCAAAAAAGAATAATACAGTTGATTGTATAATAACAGTGTTTCTCTCTTTCTCTACCGATACTTTGTGTTGTTTTTCAGGCACACTTCATGTAACAGTTTTGTTGCTGAAAAAAAATTACAAATGGGGAAAAAAATAATAGATAAAACAATCTTTCATTGTTTCCAGCTACAGTAAGTCGGTGTCTCATGGAAAAAAGCAAATGATGCACCTTTACAAAAATGCCCATGTACAAGCCTGTGGGTTTTAATGACAAGAGGGAGGAGACATTGGGGTCATTTGAATAAACCTTCACAGACATACATAGAGACTCAAGTTTCTTGGCAGGAGATGAAGAAAGACAGTGTGCAGCTAATCTGTCCTGGAAACCTTGCAGCTTCATGTGTTTGGAAGGGGAAATGTAATTTCGTCTGGTTTGCCTGGGATGCCACTCTCACGTGCAGTGTAGAGTGGATGTGTGCCACAGTACCACTTTGTGTTTTTAGCAGACAGCCTATTCTTTCAAATGACAACATAGGCAAGATTTTGGGATGATCTGTGTGGTTTCAAATCCATCGTGCTTGTTATTTAAAATGCAAAGTATGCGCTAGCACATTTCTGCTTGCGAGCTCTGGTGCAGTGAAACTAAATTCTTTCACGGTTTTTCTTTAACTTTACGACCAACTTCGAATGCATGATTTTCTATTTGATGTCATATCTCCCATGCCCTCTTTTCACTAGCACTCTGGATCACACCTTTTAACTTTTCAGCTTTTTGTTGACAACCCTTTCACTCTCTTTGTTCCAACTTTCAAACTCAGGTGATGAAAGCAGCTTGAAACATCATAAAAATGAGCAGCCGCTGCTCACCCAGTTTAGTTTGATAAGAAGCATTGGAGGAATCCGTATTAGAACAACCAGTACAATGACTTACAATGTCACTTTTCTACAGAGATCTAGTTCCTTCTTTAGTTTCTTCCTTGAGCTTCTCTTTTTACCACTATCAAGTGACGGTATATTTTTAGAGCCATCTCTGGGTTCAGTTCTGCACTTTTAGCTGTGATTGAACTGCACTCGTCCTTGTTCTTTTATTCACCCTGCTCACTGTTTCTGGAATGTCGTAGGATAAGACAATAAATAGTTTGGGGTAAAACAGAGCAGTAACCACTGCACACAGAAGTGAAACAAAGTAGCACTTGAAGCAGTCGGCTGTTCATACTGTATGATGCCAAAGGCCATGCTTTGTGAATCTTATCTGGAACAGTAGCAATAAGGCATCTGTGGTGGCAGCAATGCCTTTGAGCCTTGTCAGCTGGCACGTTCACTTTAGTCTTTCTTTGTTGCGACCCAAAATATCCGAGCAACTCTCATTTTTGGGGGGATGCATGTATAGGCTGAAAAATGATGTGGCATTTAACTTAATTAAGATGAATGAAGCTCGTTTAATAATTCTAAAATGTGTGGAGCACTGAGGCTGTGACTGATAAACCATTCATGTCATTTTTGTTTTATGAGCCTTCAGACCTCAGACCAGATAGATTAGGTCGTCTGAAACATACTACATCACTGTAACTTGCTGATAAAAATGAACCAAGCTCCTTTGTTACACCTAAGACTGAGCCTTGCAGATCTTCCGACTCTGAGATTTCTTCATCACCCATATGCTGCAACCAGCAACTCTGCAGACTATGAGATTCCTCTAAAATTAGTTTTAGTTCCTTTTAAGGCAATGCACCTCTTTAGTCATTGGTCTTTATCCTATGTTCATTTCTGTCTCATTACAGAGTGCTGGGAGCTGCTATTAAGCAGCTCATCCATCACCGCCCAGGAATAGGGTCTAAAAGGTTAACGGGAACGGATTTTCTGGAAATGGAAAAAATTCTAGTGATGAATGGCATTAGCTTACGGAAATTCACCTTTGAATTAATGACTTGTATTTATCATTTCAAAAACATCGTGTGTTGGGCACTGCTTGGGTGCTTTTTGTTTTTCTTCTTTCAGACTGGACTGCTTGAGGACCACTCTGATATGAAAAAAAATGTCAAAGCAATACATTAGCTTGTCTTTATGTTATCGCCATGGCTGTGGCTCCACCGCACCGCCTGAGCCATTTCAACATATCGAGAAGAGTAGGAACTGAAAATGGATTACATGAGCTAAACGAGCGATATAATTTAACTGTGTGCATCATGCTATGCCCGAGTTTGTTTATGAATGGCGCGCTTGTGCATACTCAAATGAACAATATGCTCGTGAATGCTGCTTAAAAACACTTAGACATATGTACGTTCCCGCCTTTTGTCTGTTGGTTCTCACTGGATGTGCCCAGCATGCAGGCTGCAGCAGCGCCAAGCACCCAGCTGGATGATTTATCACAGAATAGTCCTTGATTAAGGAAAATTAAAGCAGGCTGCTACTGGCTCGCAAATTGCTTTGATAACAAGTTCAAGCAGTTACTTAGTGGGAATATTTTGGAGGATATGGACCTCTGAGAGAAAACAATAAAGCCAATTGAACTGGAAAGGGTTGCCCAAAGTTGTTGTTTCTTTTTCTTTGGGGGGGGGG